TGAGTAGAAATTCCTGGACACACACAGGGTCGTCGCAATATGCGTTTCGCTCCTTGTTGCAACGCTCTAGTGTCGCACAGCAGAAACGCAAATTCAGGAGAAGTTCATCAGTGCAGTGAAAGAATCCTCTTGGACAGTTCTATAGAAGAAGCAGAAATTATGGAAAAAGCACAAAGTACATGAGTGGAAGAAGCACAAATCAGACTGAGAAGCGTTAGATGCGCTTATAAGGAGAAGAAACTTGACGAGGAAACAACATGTTGTCAAAGCATTAACATAAAGCAAGTTTTTGGCTACTTGCTGGAAGTCATAAACTTGAAGTTTACCTATGTCTTGCGCCATCATTTGCGCCAAAGTTTAAGTCAATTTGGATTTATACTTTTGACATTTTGGTACTTGATTAATCGTGTGAGCAAACTTATTGACCTAAAATCAACTCTTAAATTTCGTTACGCGCTGATATCTGACTAAACCACCAAACGAAGACTGGTAGTTAGGCATCAGAAAGGAAATGAACTTTAAGCACGCCAAGTACCAGACAAATTTGATCAATCCATATGAAAAGCACTGGGAAGTCTCAAGCTCCCAGCTTTCCCAGTTCCCGACCTACCTGTATACCCGCCAAAAATTTTTATGGGACCGTATGTGGAAACCACGCATGCCCGGGGACTGAGTTTGATAAATTTAAGTTGTACGTGAGCTTGGAACATTTTTTAAAAGTTTTAGCCTCCCAACCTTACTGATTTCGGAGTTGGCCATTTTCCTGCCGGAAAATTTCACGCGATCGTACGTGAATCACGTACACCGAGGGACTGGATTTGATAGCTTTAAGTTGTAGATGAGCTGGGAACATTCTCTGAAAGTTTCAGCCTCCCAGCCTCCACGGTTCCCCAGTTAGCTATTTTTCCGCCAAAAACTTTCACGGCCGTATGTGAGAATCACGCATGCCCGGGGGATGAATTTGATAACTTCAATATGCACATGTGCTGGGAAAAATCCCTGAAAACTTCAGCCCCTCGGCTTTCCTGGACCCCAAGTTAGCGATTTTCTCGCCAGGAATTCTCACGGGACCGTACGGCGCAAATCGCGGGGCCGAATTTGAAATCTTAGAGTTCTGTACGGACGGGAACATAACCTCAAAATTTCAGCTTTCTGGCTTTTCTGGTTTCTGAGTTCGCGATTTTCCCACCAAAACTTTCACGCACTCATGTGCGGGGCCTAGACATGTGTGAGGATTGGTACCGCGGTCCTGGGGTGGCACTTGGACGGGAAACCCACTAGAAAAATTTTGGCGCTGGAGCTTGCTTGAGTGCCGGGTTGAAATACCTGGAGAGACAGAAACGCGCGCGCGCGCACACACACACAGACACACACATACACACAGACACACACAAACAGACACACATACATAGACACACACACAGACACACATACACACACACCAGGTTCGTAGCTGTATGCGTTTCCGAATATGCATATATGCAAAAACGCATAATTAAGAATGGAATTTACTGGAACTTGCTTGGCGCGTTGATGCACTTTGTGTAATTTTGCCCAGAAAGGCTCTCTTGATAAAATTTCATGGCCTTAACTTTTTTGTAGTCAGCTGAAATGTGCAGCTAAGCAGATGCAGCAGAAATTCACATGTGTATTTGCACAATTATGCGAGTACAGACCCGAACCATTAAATATATTTTTTCACACATGAATTTAATTTTATTCATTTAATCAACGACACAACTGTTGTGTCGTTGATTAAATGAATAAAATTAAAGTCATGTGTGAAACTGTGATCAGTTAGTATCCATCGCCTGCTCGACGTTTGGTGCCGGGACGTTTGCTATTAAAAATATTCATTGCTTTACTATTGATGTGTGCAGAAAAATAGGGATGTCCCGACCGGCCAAAACTATCATGCGCTGCGCGTGTAAGAGAATTTTAAATGTTGAAGATAAATTTTAAATTTTCGGAATCACGCAGAAGTGGGAAATTTTTCGCAAAATTTTAGCCTCGTTGGGATGTCTTGTCAGCTAATTTCCTGATTTTGGAGTTGGAAAAATACTCGCCCAATATTTCATGTGTCAATACGAGAAGTGTAAACGTACGCCATGGCTGAAGCTAAAATCCTCGGAGTCGCGCTTAAGCAGGAAATGAGTCCAAAAATTTCCTGTTAAAATATTCATGTGTCTGTAGGTAGAACGGAGACACTGCAAAGGATGAATTTAAAATTTCGAGTCGCATAATTGAATTTAAATTTTCGGAAGGAGGGAACATATTATCAAAATTTCAGCTCTCTGCCTTGTCTGATCCCCAAATTGGGAAGCTTCTCGCCAAAAACTTTACGTGTCCCAAATGGTACTTGGACGTACAAAAGCTAAATCTGAGAGTTTTAGTGGCGCACATGGGTACTTGGCATCCTCCTAAAATTTTAGCTCTCTAGTTTTTTTAGTTTTCTACCCGGTAATTTACTCGCCGAAACTTTTACGTGGGCATATGCGAGTCCTGTGTGTACGTGAAGGCTAAATTTGAAACTTTCGATTAAACGCGAACTTTGAACACACTGCTAAATTTCTAGCTACCTAACTTTTATGCTTACGAGTTAGAACTTCCCGCCAAAACTTCCACGTATAAGTAAAAGCCGAATTTGAATTTGCTGCATTTCCGTCACATAGGACATACATCCAATAAGTATAAGCAGCATATACAAACAAATATAGGCTTCCTCTCGACAGCATGATAGTTCGCGCGCTGTATTATACAGGCACAAAAATAGATAACATTACGAGCATCTACGATGCAGAGATTCGCTCTGGAATTAATCAAAATTCAAAAATTATCATAGCAGAATGCCACAACAAACAATTTTTTAGGTTCTGAGCAAAAAAATCATTTCTATTTTTTCCTTCAACGGGATCATTGGGCGGCTGTTCCA